CCCTGCCCGAGCCTTGTAGGAGGGTGCGAGGTCATGGCCATCAGCCACTGCCTGTTGGGGCCCCAGCTCTAGAGCCAGGCGTGGGGTCCATCCACCCAAACCCCAGCGTGGAAAGGTGTGGAGGAGGCCACAGCGTCTACTGCAGGCTGTGAGGACCGCCGGGCTTCAGGGAAAAGAACGCCACGACCAAGGCCAGAACGGGGGTCAGAACGGGAAGCCGTTGCATGTCAGGAGGAGACGGCGGCACGGGGACCCACAGCTCAGGGCCCGGGCAGGGTGCAACCCAGGTTAGAGCACGGCCCTGGCTCAGCACACGTCCTGTGCCCACTGGGTGGGCACACACACGTGGGGTCTAGACCATGCACAGACAGGAAGGAAGGCTGCCCCCGCCAAGAGGGCCCTCCAGGCTCTCAGGAATTCCTCCAGCGTCTAGCCATCTCCTCTGGCCTGGGCTCTGCTCCAGGGCCCTGAACGCTCCTATTTCATCCCTGCTGTTCCACAGACCCTGTCCCTTTCCCACTCGGGGTAGGGCGCTCCCACATGCGTCGGCCACCTGACCATGGACTGGCGACCCAGCCAGGCTTTCAGAATCCCTCCTTCTTGAGAGAAACCAAGTCGCAGTTTAGGCTCTAAACACAAAGTCACATCTTCTATTTCTCAGTTGCCTTTTTTCTTTTTCTATTTTCTTCTTTTTTTTTTTAGTAACATCTTACTTTCTGATAATCGAGTGATAGCCTTTGAAGGAACCGTGGAAGGTACAGAGAAAATCACAAAGGAAAACTCAAACTCCCACATACGGTGCCGCACTCAGAGATTGCATGTCCGTCACACGCCCTCTGGCCTCCCCTCCTTTGCATAAACACGTTGTTATTTTAGAGATTGGGGTCACACTGAACAGTCTAGAGCCCTCGTTCTTTTCCAGTGAGCCGCACGTATGTCATGAAAATTTCAAATAACATTAACTATCCTTCTACAACATTTTAATGGCTTCATACTACTCCATGATAGCAAAGTTATGATAACATCATAATTTATTTAACCAACACCCTGCTGTACTACGGTTAATATCATTTGCTTATTGATTGTGCCCATGGCTTGTCTGCACCACCAGATGTGAGCCTCACGGGTCAGGGGTTTTTTCCACTTGAACTTTTTATTTAAGATCGCTGTAGATGGGGGCGCCTGGGTGGCTCAGTCGTTGAGCGTCTGCCTTCGGCTCAGGTCATGATCCCAGGGTCCTGGGATCGAGCCCCGCATCAGGCTCCCTGCTCTGTGGGAGGCCTGCTTCTCCCTCTCCCTCTGTCTGCCACTCTGCCTACTTGTGCTCTCTATCTCTGTTAAATAAGTAAATAAAAATCTTTTAAAAAAAAAAAAAAGATCGCTGTAGATGCACACACAGCGTGCAACCTAAGACAGAGTCCCCAGTCCTTCGGTTCCCCTGGTGGTAACGTGGAAATGAGCGAAGCCCACCCCAATGAGCTCTGTTTATTCAGAGCCAGCTGGAGCCAGGGAGTCGGCCCCCACCACGTGCACTGGGCAAAGACTCGAAGGCGGGCAGCGGAACAGAGAGCTTCATGGTGGGGAAGGGGCCGCTCAGCTGTGCCCTGATGGGGCTTGGGCCTGGAGAAGTGGGAGGTGGACATCCTGTGTCATTAGTTGGGGGCATACTTCTCTGGCTGGCCCTGAGTCAGAAGCCGGGACAAAAACTGGGGAAGCTGTCAGTTATCCATCAAGTCCCCGCAGTTCTGGGCCAATGGTTACAGGGTGACTGGCTTCCTGGATTGTTACTAGAGATAGAGGGTCTGACTTCCTCCAAGTCTGACCTGCGGGGAGCTGGACCTCCCACGCTGGTTCCCCTGGCTGGTGGGTAGACCTCCCGGGCCGGGTCCCGCGGACGGTGTGTTAGAGTCCTATCTTCATGTCGGATTGACTGTCATTTCGCGTGTGTTCAGTCTCTCCATCATGTCTTGGCAGAACCACAGGACAATATGCCAGCCAGGATATTTGGGGTGGACACAGTCAAGATACAGAACATTCCATCCCTAGGAGGATCCTCATGTTGGGGATTTAATGGTCACACCCACCCCTGTGCATCGGGGACTTTGTGTATCTCTTTTGCTCACGGACATGCAATGCTGAACACGGTGCTTGGCACATAATGGATATTTAATAAATATTTGTGGAGGATTTCAGGCTTTGCTATCAGGAACCGTGTCAGCACGGACCGCTGGGGGCGCAAATCAATCATCTATTGCATATCTGTGATTTTTTTCCTGAGGATAAATTTCTAGAAGTGGATTTGTCAACTGGACACATTTTAAAGGCACATGGGTATAGAGAGCCAGCTGCGTCCAGAAGCTGAGGCCTTGTGCTCCCTGGACACTGTAGGGGGTAGGGTGCCCATTCCCTGTATATCCCTACTATTCTCTATTGTTGTTATTTTTAAAGAGCATTTGCGTTTGGGGCATGTAAAAACGCCCTTCTTTCGTATCTTTGATCAGTAATAAAATTGTTGTTGTTGTTTTCAAAAAGGAGGAGCAAAGAGTGTCTCTGTGATAAAGATTTGAAATTTAGGCTCCTTGACTGGAGACTAAGCCAAGGGGCCACGGTGGGTGTGTCAGGCGGCGGGGTCACCGGCCAGCTTTTCCTACATTGTACCTTCTGATATTTTCCCATGAAAACGCGCTGGTTTCCATGGGTGGGTTTCATTTGTGCAATCGGAAAAGAATTATTAGAATTCTTTTTTTTTTTAAGATTTTATTTATTTATTTGAGACAGAGAGAATGAGAGACAGAGAGCATGAGAGGGGGGAGGGTCAGAGGGAGAAGCAGACCCCCCGCCGAGCAGGGAGCCCGATGCGGGACTCGATCCCGGGACTCCAGGATCATGACCTGAGCCGAAGGCAGTCGCTTAACCGACTGAGACACCCAGGCGCCCGAATTATTAGAATTCTATCATTTGGTTTTAAAAAGCAGACTCCTGAACATAGCAAATAAGGTGGATGCCTAGATGTAACGTGATGTTATAACGAGCCCAAAACTAAAGGACCGGTCTCGTTGCCAAACATTCAGATCCGAGTCCTCCATGTCTGGGGCCCGGGGGGAACAGCAAGGGGCGCAGACTGACTGGGTGGGCTCTGCAAAGCAAGAGCCTCAGCCACATCCAGACTGCACACACTCTGCCTCCAGAACTTTCTCTCAGAAGGCACCAAATTTGATGCTGAGCCTGGGATTTTAAAGCTTTGGGAATACTTCCTCCCCAAAACTCTGATGCCCTGGTTCACCAGTCAGGGGCCGTGCTGGGAGCTGGGACTTGGTCAAGCAGTTCATGATGAAGTTGAAGACAGCTGAAACAGGGTTCCTGGGTGCTTAGAGCCCTACCCCCTCCCTGTCCTCTCACCCTCCCCTTCTCAGGCCTGGAGGCCTAGCTGCTCAGCTTGAAACCCCAAGCCCAGTTCAGCCCCAGCTTCAGACATCTACTCCCAAGAAAGGATCGCATCAAGGTAGGGCACACACTCCTCCACACCCCTGCAGGGCCCCGGACAGCACATTGTTCTGGAGCAAGGAACTGAACTAAAAACATGCAGCTCAGGACAAGGGCCTCCAGGACTCCAGTGCCACAGGGCTAGGAGTTTGTGCCAGTCGGAACTCTGGGTTGCAAGTGACAAAAATTCGAAGTAAAATGGCGTAAGGTGTGAAGGGAAATTCATGGGCTCAATTACACAGAAAGTCTATAGGGTACCTTAAATTTTCTGTTAACCTAAAACTGTTCTTAAAAAAAAAAAAGTGTGCATGTTTAAAATAGTCTTTAGGTAGGGGCACCTGGGTGGCTCAGTCGGTGAAGTGTCTGCCTTCAGCTCAGGTCATGATCCCCAGGTTCTGGGTTCTAGGTTCAAGTCCCACATCGAGCTCCCTGCTCACTCAGTGCCACCTGCTTCTCAAATAAATAAATAAATAATGATAAAATTAAAAGTCTTTAGGCAATAGCTTCAGGTGCAGGTTGATCCAGGGGCTTCCTAGTGAGAAGCTGTCACTTGAGCCCCTCTTGAGACCCCAAGATGGCCCTGTCCTTCAGCCTCTTTATTTGTGGCCAGAAAGTGACCATCATCCCAGCCTCACTCACTGACACAGGCAGACCCAGGGGCAGGGACAGCATGTTGGTTTCCCAGGAACCCCAGCAAACATGGTTATTGCCGACTCTGATGGGTAAGGTGCCCACAGCTGAACCGATCACTGTGGCCAGGGGGAGGGATGTGCTCAGCCAACCAGGGCCTCGCAAGGCAGGGAAGGATGGACACCAACAGGACCTTCAGGTGCCGCCCTCAGAGAGTGGGGCTGTGCTGTCTTCCACCAGGGAGCTCAGGCCTACGTGTGGTCAGGGAAACAGACACCGAGCAGTGGGGCGGCTCAGGCAGTTGCCCAGCCCCTTGGATCTGAAACGCCTGCACCCCTGCACGTGTGCTCCCCCAGGGTGCACAGCCTCCCCTGCAGGCGCTCCTGCCAGCTCCTTTCCCGTGTGTCCCTCAAGCACGTACTCCATGCCTTCCGCAGAGCCGGCCCCGGGCCAGACCCCGCTCCTTCTCCGGGCGCCTCCAGGTCCCCACTGCACCACCCTCCATGTGTGCTCGGCAGAGCCCCGGCAAACACTGAGAGCCGGGTCTTGAGCCGTGTGGCTTGGGGAGAGGGAGCTGGGTTCGGAGTTGGAAAAGCTGGCCCTGCAGCCCGTCCTGCTCTCCCCCTGCCCCCCCCGGCCCCCCGCCGCTGAGAGAGAAGGAAGTCAGAGCCGATGCCTCACAGGAACCCTGAGCTCTAGAAGAAGTCCTCCGAAGCCTCGTGGGAAGTGAAGGCGGCAGGTTTGCTTTCCAGCCTGCCTCCGGCGACGTGGGGTTCCCTCCGTCTCCGGGAGATGGGGCTCGGCTGGCGATGTCTGCCCCGGGTGTGCCCCTGGGGCAGCAGCAGACAGAGCAGATCATTCCCGTCTGAGAGCTTTCTCTGTCCCAGGCACCTATGTGATGACCATCACGGCCAATGACGCGGACGACCGCACCACGGCCAATGGGATGGTGCGGTACCGGATCGTGACCCAGACCCCGCAGAGCCCGTCCCAGAACATGTTCACCATCAACAGCGAGACAGGGGACATTGTGACCGTGGCAGCCGGCCTGGACCGAGAGGTGAGGTGGAGGGGGGAGGGGGGCCTCGCCCTTGCGGCCCGTGCAGGAGACGGGACCCCAGCCCAGGTTGGGTGCCCCGGGGGCCCGTCTGCTGCGGCACCTGGCCGGGAGGAAAGCTCTCAGCAAAGCCGTTCCTAAGTGTTCGCCGCCGGCCCTGGGAGCGCACCTGGGAGCGCACCTGGGAGCTGGTCCCCCCGAGAGCTTTCCCAACAGGCGCCGAGGTCTGACCTCTGTGCTCTCAGGAGGCGCCCGCGGCGGGGCCCCAGGGCCGGGGGCCGTTAGCGACCGTCTGAGAGCGTGAGCACCCACCCCCGCCTGGGGCACCAGCCCTACGTCTGACCCGGGCGCCCCCGCCACCATGACCCGGGGCGCACGGACAGGGTGGCACTTTCCACTCAGGGCAGGAATCATCACGGCCAGAGTGACTTCTTTGGTGCTGGGTACGAGGACTTCCCAGCTTCGCGGCCCTTCCCGTGACCCCAGGAGGCCGCACCTCTGTTGTATCCACCTTCGCTCACCCCATCCGTGTGGACTCCAGTGTCCGCCCCGCCCAGAGCCAGACCCTCAGGAGAGGGCGGCATCAGGTGGCTTTGCTGCCACCGGACTGCCATTTTCCCACCGAGTGCGGGGGCGTCTCCAGGCACTGGGCCACTGTTCCCATCTGGGTAGATGACACTGTCCTGGGCACCTGCCTCCCGGGCACCTGCCTCCGGGGCCCCTGGAAGGGTCAGCAGCAGCTCCGGGCTGAAAGCCCCCGGCTGGCAGCACTGAGTAAGCACGCTCAGCTTCCCAGACCAGCATCTCTCCTGCCTCTGGGCCTCCATGACGGCCTCCGGTTTGCTCAGTGACCAGAGGCCGGCGTCTCCTCTAAAGGATACCCGAGTCCGTTTACCCTTGAAAGCACTTGGTTCCCAGGACTGGAGGCTCGTTTGCAGAGCCTGTGTCAGCCGCTCCCTCCCTGGGGGCTCGTTTGCAGAGCCTGTAACCAGCCGCTCCGTCACTGGGGGCTCGTTTGCAGAGCCTGTAGCAGCCGCTCCGTCGCCAGGGGCTTGTTTGCAGAGCCTGTAACCAGCCGCTCCCTCCCTGGGGGCTCGTTTGCAGAGCCTGTAGCAGCCGCTCCATCGCCAGGGGCTTGTTTGCAGAGCCTGTAACCAGCCGCTCCGTCACCAGGGGCTTGTTTGCAGAGCCTGTAACCAGCCGCTCCGTCACTGGGGGCTCGTTTGCAGAGCCTGTGTCAGCCGCTCCCTCCCCAGGGGCTTGTTTGCAGAGCCTGTAGCAGCCGCTCCATCGCCAGGGGCTTGTTTGCAGAGCCTGTAACCAGCCGCTCCGTCACTGGGGGCTCATTTGCAGAGCCTGTAGCAGCCGCTCCATCGCCAGGGGCTTGTTTGCAGAGCCTGTAACCAGCTGCTCCGTCGCCAGGGGCTTGTTTGCAGAGCCTGTAACCAGCCGCTCCCTCCCCAGGCGCTCGTTGGCAGAGCCTGTGTCAGCCGCTCCCTCCCCAGGGGCTTGTTTGCAGAGCCTGTAGCAGCTGCTCCATCACCAGGGGCTTGTTTGCAGAGCCTGTAACCAGCTGCTCCGTCGCCAGGGGCTTGTTTGCAGAGCCTGTAACCAGCCGCTCCGTCACTGTGGGCTCGTTTGCAGAGCCTGTAGCAGCCGCTCCCTCCCCGGGCGCTCGTTGGCAGAGCCTTACTAGCCACACTCATCTTGATGGCATCCGGCTCCCTCTCCCAAGAAGCACTGCAGTCCTCATCATCTGGGTCCAGGGACCTCACCTTGATCGGGGGCACTGAGCTGGGACCTTGCTACGTGCGGATTTTCAGGGCCCAGCTGCGGCAGGTTCTCACTCCCCAGACTGATTCCGCACACCTGTGATCCTGGCAGGTTTGGAGATGGGGGCACCAAACACCTTGAGTCTAGACCTCACCCCTGGCAAAGCTGCCGGAACTGCTCCAGCCACGCTGCCCCCCCTGCGTCTTCCAAATCAATAAACACCAGGTGGTAGCACAGAAAGTGCCACCCCCACCCCCCCCCAGGAAGGGCATGAGGTGCTTTTTTGACATTCCTAAATTGTACTGGGCGGTGCACCGGGGTGGTAGGCTGGGGCAGAGAGGTCACGTGAGAGGGAATTTACACAACCTCATGGCTCAGCAGGATGCAGGGTGGCCCTCGCCAACAGCCTGGCCAGGAGCATGTTAGGGAACACCTCTGAGCCCCAGCCTCAGTGCCCTCTCTGAGAAATGGGCACAGTGATGTCAGCCTGGTGGGCTCGGTAGGGAGGGGATGCGTGCGCCCTGGCAGCGGGGTGAGGACTGGTGGGGAGGCTCACCGAGGGGCTTTAGCTCCACGGAGTCAGATGTTTTCTTGGCCCAGTGTTGGTGGAGATGTGTGACAGGAGAGGGGGACAGAACCTCAGGGGCTCCATGGGTGACTGGGGGATCTCCCAGGGACCAGGGTAGGTGCCTGCTGCATCCAGACCAGGCCCTGGAGTCAGGGATCGGACAAGGGACTGCTCCCCTGGCTCCCAGAAGGATGCTGCCATTAGCTGGGGTGGTGGACCGGCGACTCTATGGGGAAGGTCATTAGAGAGGTCTGCACAGGAACAAACACCCTGTGTTTTCCTTCCTTGTTTAGCAAATTCAGACAGAGGTGCTGGGTGAGGCACAGGGGACAGAGGAGAGCTCGTGAGACAGACAGCGGCTCCCCAAGGCCCCGGGGGGGTTGGGGGGGTGAGGAGCAGAACCTAAATGAATGTGCTGTAGATGGGTGCAGGTGATTGCATGCACAAAGTGTCATGTACTGATGAGATGCTCTCACAATGGGGAAATCAGGGGAGGCTTCCCAGAGGAGGTGACCTTGCTCTGAACCTTGGGGGCTGGTACAATCGATCATATTTTCTGCTGTTTGGGATGAATGACCAGCACCCACTTTCCCTGAATGCTGTGCATCACACATCTAACTTGTTGCAAGCAATCATAGACACCGCTCAGCAGGGTCCTTCATTCAGTCAAAAACTTTGGGGCACCTGGGTGGCTCAGTGTTAAGCATCTGACTTTGGCTCAGGTCATGACCTCATGCGTTCTGGGATCGAGCCCCACAGCAGGATCCGCGCTCAGCAGGGAGACTGCTTGTCCCTCTTACTCCAACCTCTGCCTCCGGGTCACGCAGCTTCTCCTCTGGGTGTCTCTCTTTGTCCCCTCTTCTTATGGGGACGCCAATCATTGGACTTAGGGCCCATCCTAATCCAGTGTGAGCTCATCTTAACTCACAAAAACCCTATTTCCAAATCGGGTCACATTCTGAACTTCCAGAGGGACATGGATGTGGGGGAGACAGTACAGGCCTGACCTGCTGTTCTGGGGTTCCTAATTGTAACAGGCGGCCTTTGAACTCCAGGATGATGAGGAGACAGCCCTCCAAGAGCTCACTGTGGGTAGCCACCAGCCACACGCAGCTGTTTAAACTTCGGTCTTTACCGTTACATGGACTCTGGCATTCAGGTCCTCACCCTTGCCAGCCACGTGGCAGGCGCCCCGCAGCCTGAACAGCGCCCCGGGACCCACCCCTGATTGCCCTGTGTCTATAGGCAGCCGGCGTGGCCCCTCTGCCCCATGTTCACACGGGGCTGTCCGCCTCACGGAGCCCCGCAGAGACACAGGTGCTCATCAGCTGACCTGAACTGTGACGCAGAGGCTGAAGGAGGCCTGGGCCTCACCTTGGGGTTCTCGGGGTACACCGCTGTCCTCAGCCTTCAGCGGGTGGCGGGCAGGCAGGTGGGCAGGAGGACATGCAGGGGGCAGGGGGACAGGTTCTCTCACCAGCCCGGGTCGCAGAGCTCTGGGCCCCACCGTCCCCACTGGGCCGCGGTGCCAGCGACCCCACATGCCCCCCGGCCGCCACCGCAGCAGATTCCGGCTCCTGCCCAGCAAAGCCTCGCCATCCACAGAGGGCTTCTGTTCAGTATTTGATGAGCGTAGACTTCAGGCGCCGGAAACAGGGAGGCAGGAAGGCTGAGGGCCTTCCTCTCAGCTCTGTCCCACCTGGGGGGCCTGGGCCTCTCCTTCGGGGCAGCTGCCTTGGGGTCTGCTCAGTGTCCAAGGGCCCCTCACCAGCTGCCCCTCCCCTCCTCCCGCCCAGAGCACATGCTCTCTGCATCTTAAGCGAGTCAAGTGAAATAATTAGACACAAGCTGTCTGCACTAATTAGCACGTCCGCAGACCACAGGTTGTGATTGCCCTGAGACCGCTGGTGGACGCTCCCTGGACCGTCGGCGTCTCGCGGCAAGGCCTTGTGTGCGCGCCAGGCCTGCAGGGAGCCCAGTCGGGGAAAGGAAGGTCCCTGGACAGAAGGAGTGGCAGGGAGTCTGCAGGAGGGAGCCGGTGCCTGAGACACACCAGGTGCCCCAGCGCCTCGGTGCCCATGCTGCCCGCAGCCCCCACCTAGCTTCCTGCTCCTCCGGTGCTGAGGGCTGGCCCACCCCTCCACCGCCTCCTTGTGCCTCTCTCCCGTCCCCAGGTGCTTGAGGCCCCGGTTCTTCTTGTCTTGCCAGACATCACCCCCAGGGAGGCCTCCCCGACCACTCTGCTCAGGGCCTGTGCCCTTCCTCCTCCTCTCCCTGAGCTGGGCAGGTTCCTTCATAGCCCCCGCTCAGAGGAGACTGCACGTGAGCTTGTTGGCTCCTTTACTGTGAGTTCCCCTCTGACACAAGCTCTGTAGGGCAGGCCCAGTCTGTTCAGGCATCACTGACCGACCAGCGCTCAGCTGCACGCCTGGGGCACTGGAGCAGCTCAAGAAATGTGTGGAAAGGTCAGGGGGTGGGCGTGGCAAGGGCAGGGCTGGCAGAGGGGCAGATCCAGGGGCAGGGCAGCAGAGCTGTGACCCCTGCCACCTTGAGCTCAAAAAGATCAGTATTTGCTTTGATTTTTTTGTTTGTTTCCCAGCTACTGAGCACTCCAACCTAGGTGTCCTCGCTCTTTGGGGCCTTGTATACTAGATTGCCAGAG